CTACCAGTCCTTCATCACCTTAAACGAAATTGGGTGAATACACCTCATATTACTGATTTACTGGTAGTCTAGAAACAATACTTAAATGCGAAAAATAAGTGCACGAAACTTTAGAGAATTAACAGTCAGAATATATTTTAGTTGCACTTTTTCCATTTGTATTCATTAAAATGACTTGAATCTCTGATATTCGCCTCTAAATTTTTTCTTTATAGATAGGCGAAAACGGCTAAATTGAGACGAAATTTTATACCAAGTTCCATTAGTCTGTATTTCTAATTTAATAAAAGGACAAAAGTAACCATATTTTATATTCAGCTTACTTTATTGCTCCGCCGAAGCTCTAGAGAATTTTATAGTTATTATGCTAACTATTTTAACAACACCTTGGTTGGCCAAACCTCTAATGAACTGCACAAGATGATGAACGATTGACAGCTGTATAGAAGTGGTTCAAACCTGTTTGCGCAACTAAGGGTCAAACTATCTATGGCTTAGCGCTTTTGACTGGTAGTTGATTAGGAGAACATTTGGCAGGCAAGTCATCTTAAGGCCTACTCATTTAATTGTGTATAAATGTAACTATCACTCATTCATAACCTTATGCGAAAAGCATAACTACAACTCAAATTCAAGTTCTATCCATTGGCTCGGAATCTACTACATATATTTGAAACAATATCTAAACAACGCTAATCTTTATTGTCAATGAACGTATAAATATGAAGCTGGGAGAATAAACAATCAAGAAACAAAATTTAACCATTTTAGAAGAGTAAGAAAGTAGGAGAATGTTAATTAATTAATTAATTGTGACTGAAGGATACAAAAATTATTCTAGAATAAGCCATGGTAGGTAAAAAATAAGCACAAGTTGGAGAAATAGTTGAGATGTAAGAATAGCTGGAATGAGATGAGATAAAAATACAAAAGTTAAATTCCTAGAACAACCGAGATGAGTATAAACAATATGCGGGGATAGCTGGTAGACTTAAAGGAAGATAAGGGAAGCGATACATCAGGTTCAGAAAGTGAATACTGGTGAATAACTGCCGTTCATTTAACATGAAACTGTCCGTAATATAAGCCCTAAGGGACACCAGCTAATGAAAGGTTATGGTGACTGAAGAAATAAGCCTAAAATAAAATTTGTGCTTAAAAAATCCGAATACAGGAGCCGCAGGAAACCGACAACTGTGCTTGATTAGTGCTATTTAATTAAGATTCAGTTTGATTGCGCAAGTATGAATTTTAGCGAGGCCAAAATCTTAACGGTTTTGATTTCAAGCAAATTCGGCAGTAGCTAAAACCCTACAAAAAATCATCAAAGTTAAGGGTATTATGGCAAACTCATACCATGAACTATAATTTCAAAAGGATATCAAAGCGTTTGAAAAACTATTTCCAGACAAGGAAATTGAAGAGAAATCGGTAGAGTATACAGAGAAATCAACTCTCAAAACATGCCGTAGTTGAGTAAGTTGGCTGCCTCGAAACAAGCATCCAAAAGAAGTCAAGCCAAAAAATACACTGGATGGATGAAGATTTTCAACTAGGATTTAGATTATAAAACAGGTTTCCACGAATACACCAGTTGAAGCTATATATATATATATAGAGAGAGAGAGAGAGGATAAGGGGAGTAATATGGATAGCCAGCATGCAATGACAAAAATATCGACAATTCACAGGGAAGAGTAATTCAAACCTCTATTGCAAAATAGGGGTTGAGCTGGTGAGATAATATGTGCGAATAATTTTAAATACGTTTATTCGTATAGAGATGGGCCCGGAAGAATAGAAAGACGGAAAAATTCCGAGTTGGGGAATATGGTTACAGAAAAAATGATATGGCTCGAAGTAAATATAAGAGAATATTCCGATCCGAGGTGATCAACATGCAAAATAAATAACTTTGAAAATTGTAATTTTGCTAGTTAGCTATAGACACGTCAAATTAAAAAAATATGCATCTGAATAAGTTGATCTGATAGAGTAGTTGGAATGGGTTGATGATTAATCCGTTCTAATTATCAAGAGGCAGAACGGATAGATATCTGTTTTACTGCTTAGAATGGAGGAGCTGAGTAAGAACCATCCAAAATATAATGAAAAATACAAAAGTATTCTTAATTGATCTGATCAACTTGATTGTGTGTCATTAACAGAGGGTGTTTGCATGGGTATGGTGAAGTTGAAAAACTCAAAGCAAGTAAAAAAATGCCAGGTTAAATGCGGAAAGTGATAAAGGGGCTAGTAGTCAAACCCGCCGTCGGAGACGAGTAATACATGCTTTTGAAAGGTGCAGACTAAGTGAGGCTGTTTCCAAACTTTCTGCGAGATCTAGTGAAGCTATAGATACGTTGTTCAAATTCGCCAGCAGTTCGCTCCGTTTGTAGGCACCTCTTGCCAGGTAATCAGAGTTTATTACGATCAGATTAAGCAAAAGCAAGTATTCAGGAAGGGCCTGTTGACCAAGGATGAAAAAGAAAAATATTAGTATATTGAGATAATAAAGAAGGATTGGTCATTAAT